AAAGGACCTTGTCCCATTCTTCTTCATGGAAGGTGAACTTGTAACCTGCAGCAACATGGATGGTGTGATGGCAGCCCTCAACATCATTCACGATCCAGATGAGTGGATACTGTTCATTGATTCATCGATGATGAGTCTTAAAGCTGTTTTATTACATAATGGCAATGTTTTGCCATCAATTCCAGTTAGTCATGCAGTCCATATGAAGGAAACCTATGACAACATGAAACAACTTTTGAGGTGCATAAACTATGACCAACATCAGTGGCAGCTTTGTGGCGATTTGAAGGTTGTTGCTCTCTTGCTTGGTCTGCAGACTGGATACACAAAGTACTGCTGTTTTCTCTGCGAATGGGATAGTCGTGCAAGAGATTTCCACTACATCAAGAAAGATTGGCCACTCAGACAGTCATTGGAGCCTGGGAGGAAAAGTGTTCAGCATCCACCACTTGTTGAATCAAGGAAGATTTGGTTACCACCCTTACACGTCAAGCTGGGTCTGATGAAGAACTTTGTCAAGGCCATTGACAAAACACAAGCAGCTTTCAAGTACCTCTGTGGAAAATTTCCAAGGTTAAGTGAAGCTAAGATAAAGGAAGGTGTCTTTGTTGGTCCTCAGATTCGTGAACTTCTTCGAGATGACCCATTTGACCATGCACTGCGTGGCAAGGAAAAGACGGCATGGAAAGCCTTCCAGTTAGTGGCAATAAAATTTCTCGGAAACAGGGCAGACAACTACAGGTTGTTGGTGGAAAACCTCCTCAAGGCATACAAAAGCCTTGGTTGCAACATGTCACCAAAGATCCATTTTTTGCACTCTCATCTAGTTTTTTTCCACCAAACTGCGGAGCAGTGAGCGATGAGCATGGCGAGCGATTTCACCAGGACATAGCGTTTCTCCGTTGTTGCAATCAGGACAAATGGAGCCCATCAGTGCTTGCAGCCTATTGCTGGACAGTGATAAGAGATGCTCCATTTAATGAATACAAGAGACAAGCCAAGAAGCGCCGAGTAGACACTGAATAGGACTAAACTATGTACATAATAGTTTTCTGCCTTTTGTTTCAGAATACATTTTATTTATATAACCCTTTTGCTGATTTTTAAAGTGTTACGTAAACAGGACAGGTGAAATATTATTATGTAAAGCAACCATAAACACATGAAAAGACCTAGGTTTACAATTTATGATTAAAACTCTGTCTACACAATATACATAGACATAAAATGTAAACACTTAAATATCTTAGAAACCACAGCCAATCAGTTGTTTTAATTGTCATCTTTGAATTCAGCACATCAAAATACATAATAAATAGCACATTTTATCTCTGAAGCAGACGACTTCTCAAAAATTGTAGACCAGTGTAATTTAAAGAATACTCCGGTATTTAATCATACTTTTTAAGGCTATTTTAGAGCCGTTTCAGACTTCTAGATATTAAATTTGAACCTCCTCCACAAGACGGTCGATATTATTATTTATTTTATTTTTTTTGGCTTGTTGGTTAGCACTAGTTCTGCTGTAAAAATGTTACCCTTGCTTTCTGTGTCACCCACTGGTTAGTCTGTATTCTAGATCCCTGTCTCTGTCCAATCCACAGAGGATGTGAGGCTGTTACAGGGCCCAACTACAGAACCTGGCTCTACAGCTCAAGCAGTGACAGCTCGTGCTTTTAGGTCACTTTCAGGGCTTAAATTTTGGGCCATGCGAACTTAATGCTGCAACAGAAATAAATACTTTCCCAAACCCTGCCTCTCCTAAATGAGCACACATCGAGAGTTGATACTCCATTCTGTTAGGGGATCCCCTTGTGTGTTCCTTTTTTTCCAAATGCTATTGGAAGCATTTTTCTTTCTTGGCCTGTCAGCCTGAAGCAGTTGCTAAACTCCCTGCAGAGTACGCACAACACAAATGGCAGAGGCTAGCATGCTGAGCCAGCTTTTTTTTCATATTACTTATTGAATTTCCATGCAGCAAGCAGCATTGGTAGACTTAGCTGCAGGCAGCTCTTAAGCCTCTTTATAGAAACCATTAAAAGGAAATTGCCTTCCAACCCTGCCCTTGATGACAATAATCAGAGGAGGGATTGTCTATAGTTTCTGAGCTGTTGGACTGCGCTAGCCCCATATATGTCTCATATTTAAAGCTAGAGCCCAAACCTGCCTTCACTAATCCATTGCATGCATGTATGAAGTTATAGGTGTACATGTTTGCAGGATGCATGCTCCGGTCTGCATCTGGTGCTCAAACTACTGGAACAGTTAAGTTCAGACTACAGTGACTACTTCTTCTTCTCGGACTTTGATGGCACATTTGCTCAGGTCACATGCTTCTGGGGTTTTTTCTATCTGCTTCTGGCACAAACTCGTCCTGCGATTTGAAAATGGAGATGGCTGCCTGTGTCTCTAAAGTCAGCAGTGAAGAGCATTCTGGACTTGAACTTGGCTGTCAACTTCACAGATTCATCAGGCAGGACGCACCCTGCGTGCTCTCCCATACCTGTAATTGCCTCTACAGTACTTCCTGCAAAAACATGTCTGCTAAGTAAGTATAGGTAGCTTAGGCATGAGGGGAGTGGATACATCTAGTTGGAAGACAACCGTTTTACAGAGTCCCTTCTCTCAAGTAGAGCCAGACTTGCGCTACCTGTAGGCATCTGTTTGTGTATAACTCTCTTTAAATGTGTGTGGACAAATTGCTTTAGAATTCCTTATTTGACTGCAAGAGAGTCTGGTTACATACTTCGTACTGAGTTAGTTTAACTTCTCTGGCGAGGGTCAGTTGGAGAGCACAGCCACTTGATAAACATTTGCTTTAAATTAATGTCTGCTAAAAAAATTTTTCCGAAAGGGGTGGGAAGGAGGGAGAGTACAGCAAATATTGGTCAGCTGTAGAATATTTGTTTTAACCACCTTGCTGGCTTGGCCCACCAGTAGATTTTGATCGGAGGACTTCAGCACTGAAAGCATGAGCCTCTACCACTTGTGCTGCAGGAATAACTCTCTTAGGGTCTGTCTTCACTGCAGGCTTTGCTGCTGCTTCAGGTGTCGCCCCTAATCCGCCTCCCATTCTCACCCAAAACTTTCTCCCCTGAGTTGGGCGGTGCTTGGCTGGTGTGTCTACACTGTATCTGGAAATGAGTCTCCCAGCCAGAGTTCACAGACATCTGTTGGTGAGGCTCATGCTGTGTAGATGTTGTGGCTTGGGTCTGGGGGTGGGGTGGGCTTGACAACACCAGCCCAAGCCACATCACCACCTTAATGTTTATGTAGACATAACCGCTAAGGATTAGAGTCCAGGTATTGCTTTCACATGGGCTGGATTGTGCCCACTTTGTAGTGAGGATGTAGGCTAAACCGCTTGAGTCCTCCTAGTCCCTCAACAACTTCCCACAATTTCTGTGTGTTCCCGGAAGGACAGACAAGTTCTCCCACAATTCACTGGGAAAGAATCACAGAGCGCCTTAGCTCACTGTAGCTCAGTGAATAATGGGATGCACCCCCGGACCTCCAAGGGTGGCTCTATGTATTTTGCCGCCCCAAGCATGGCAGGCAGGCGGCTTTCAGTGGTGCGCCTGCGGGAGGTCCGCCGGCCCTGCATCTTCGGCGGACCCGCCGCCAAATTACCACCGAAGCCGCAGGACTGGCGGACCTCCCGCAGGCATGCCGCCGAAGACTGCCTGATTGCAGCCCTCACGGCGACTGGCAGGCTGCCACTCCCTCCCCCTCTCCCCCCAC